GCTATGGATGGAAAGTCGGACGTTGAGGTTCACAGGTACCACGTCCGACAAGTTCTTACAATCATGCGAAAGCATCAATTGTATGCTAACCTCAAGAAGTGTATATTTGCAGCAAGCGAAATACCACTTCTTGGGTGCATCGTTGGTAAGAACGGTGTACGTCCTGATCCCGAAAAGATCAAGGCGATCACCGACTGGCCTGTGCCGGTCGATGTCAAAGGCCTTCGAAAATTCCTTGGGCTAGCGGCGTATTTGCACAAGTATTCACGCAATTACGCCGAGATGACTGTGCACCTCTCTCGTTTGTTGAAAAAGAACGAGAGGTGGTTATGGAACGCTGAATGTCAGCGCTCCTTTGATGGTATCAAGCAGAGCTTGATACGATCCCCAGTCCTAGCAATAGCCGATCAGGACAGGCCATTTCATGTGGTCTGTGATGCCAGCGATTTTGCAATCGGCTGTGCATTAATGCAGTACGATCTTGAAGGCGTTGAACGCGTCGTCTGCTATCAGTCGCGTCAGCTGCAACCAGCTGAGCGGAACTATCCAGTGCATGACAAGGAACTCCTTGCCATGAAGTATGCACTCGCGAAATTCAGAGTCTATCTATTAGGAGATAGACCCTTCATTGTTTACACTGACCATGCGTCATTACGCACGGCAGTGAACAGCCCGCACCTTTCACAACGAATGGCGCGGTGGTTGTCATTCTTTGCAGAATACAACTTTACGGTCGAGTACAAACCAGGACGACTTAATGTCGTCGCTGATGCACTCTCACGTCGCCCCGACTTTGAACTAGTCGTGAAACCCAACAATGAGACAGTCACTGTTGCGGTTATGACGTCCTCAGTCCCATCTACAACGTTGTATGATGATGTGAGGCGGGCATACGCCCAAGATGGTGAGATTGTGAAGTTGTTGACACATCTCTCCCAACCATCCCGAGAATCGTTGAAACGATTGTCGCCTGCGTATCGATCTGCATCAGATCGATACACTACTCGCAACGGGTTAATGTATTATACAGCCGTTCTGGTGACACACCACGTGTTGTCATTCCAGATGATACTGATCTGCGTTTGCGGATCATGTTCGAATATCACGATGCTCCTATAGGAGGACATCGTGGCCGTGAGAGAACATATCTCACGGTGAGTCGAGACTTTTACTGGCCCCGCCAGTATCAGTTTGTGCGCAAGTATGTTCGCGCATGCGAAGTCTGCCAACGAGTGAAGTCAAGTCCTTCACTGCGTGCACCTTTACAGCCTCTACCGGTTCCGGCTGAGTTCTGGGAATCCATCTCCATGGATTTCGTCTTCGGGTTACCCAAAGACGCACGCGGGAATACGGTTATTCTCGTTTTTGTTGACAGATTCAGCAAAATGGTACACCTTGTGGCTGTACCAGAGTCAATCACGGCAAGTGACTGTGCTTGTGTCTTTATTGACACCATCTTCCGACTTCATGGGTTGCCCCGTGAACTCGTATCAGACAGAGATCCACGATTCACTGCTGATTTCTGGCGTTCCGTGTTCAAATCACTCGGAACGCGCTTGAAGATGTCGACATCTGATCATCCAGAGTCAGATGGTCAGACGGAACGTGCCAATCGTGTCCTTGAAGAGATACTTCGAGGATACGTACACTCCTTTAAGAGTTGGAGTGAGTTCTTGCCAATGGTAGAGTTTGCCATTAACAACTCGGTGCATGCGTCCACGACACATACACCGTTGTACGTGAATGTCTTACGCCATCCGCGTGTACCCACCTTGCTAGAGTGTAACTCTGGTTTAAGGGGGGGAGACTCGCACGAGCAAAAACCGATTTGGTTCACGCTCATCACGCTCTGACGAAGAGGTCATTGCGTTTGATGCCGATATCGATAACATCGATATCGAAGAAGATGATGCCAGTGAGAGTGCGGAAGCCCTCACTGAAGAAAAGATTGATGTCACTGCAGTGCACTCACAGCGCACTGAAGCTAACGAGTCATCAGATGAGTTCATACTGGCTCGTGAAACGGTAGTCCGTTTTGTGCAAGACGCCATCGCCGAAGGGGTGGATAAGCAAAAGCAAAACGCTGGCAAGAATGGAAGGGCAAACACTCTTTTATTTCATAAAGGTGACTTAGTCCTACTGTCTACGGTTAATCTACCAAAGCATGTAGTAACTAACTTGGGTAGCAGTAAACTACTACCCAAGTACATCGGCCCATTTCGTTTATTGCACCGCCTAGGCAATGCATACACGATCGAGTTGCCACGTAAGATGCGAACGCATCCCACGTTTTACGTTGGTCGGCTTAAGCCGTACCATCAGTACGCTGCTTCTTCCGATGAAGAACGCCCTTGCGCTCAAGCATCTCGCAGAGAGCCTTGTGCTCCCGATGGTGGGCATCAACAAGGGTCTGAAGAGCAGTTATCTCAGCCCGAGACCGATCAACAATCCCACGAGCTACCCTTAGCTCGTCACGCAGAGACGTCAGAGCTCTCTCGTTCTCGAGCTGAGCAAAGGCAAACTCAGCTCGATGCTTCGAGGCAGTGTCCGCCAGTTGGAGACGCCTGTCCCGCTCATGTTCGAGATCGTTGCGTAACCCTTGCGTTACGCGATCAAAGGAGCTCTCGGGAACACACCGATCCACATGATTGTATGGAGAGCGTCTTTCCTCCTCCTCCACCTCCATTAGAGGACTCTCGCGGTGGCCAGCGCTATCTAGTTGAGCAGCTGTTGAACCACCGCAACGTGAACGGACGTCGGATGAGTTATCTCGTCCGGTGGCGCGGCTATCCCCCGTCCTGGGATACTTGGGAGCCCCGCTCCCAACTGATGATCGACGTACTGGGTCTGGTTGAGCAGTACGACGCGGCACATCCTGTGCCGCAGAAGGACCGCCGGAGAAAGTCTTCCCGGCACGGTCGTAAAGGGATTTCAAGTTGTCAATCCCTTCGTACATCTCAGTAGAGACTCGTACGCGCCACCACGGGCTGGTAAGGAGGTAAGCCTCCTTAGGTGCTCGTGCAGAGTTGTTCACACAACACGGGCACGAGTCTCCCCAAGAGAGGCAGGGTAGTCCTTTCTCCCTTGACAGAAGATGCAGCTTGTAGCGTGCACCTGTCGGGGTTCGCTTTTCAAACTTATCACGAGCTTTGATAAGTTTGTCGTTCCAAGAGTCACGACCTACATCCTCAAGGTTATGGATATAGGCGTTCCACGCCTGAAGCAGTGAGGGACCATCACGTTTGCGATTCCCACTGTACCATCGATGCTAAAAGAAAGCATCGAGGAAGAACTCATTCTCAGCGCGATAGTTTTTCGCACTGGGGTCAAGGTGGTGGATCCTTGACGAATTGAACAATCGTGTTCGATAACGATCACTCGTCGTCGCCGACAAGTGATCCATGACTGATTTAGGAGGCATCCATGCCTTCTTCTCGGGAGCAAGACGTAAGACATTGCGGTCCTGCTCTTCCTGCGACGTGCCGACAGAAGTACTGGCACCTCGCTCCGAAGTGGTGTAAATAGGAGAACCGACACCACTATTAGCGCCCGAGTCTTGCGACTTTGAGCGCCTTCGCTTCGGCGATGGTTCTTCTGACTCATCAGATGAACCAAAGATGCTACGACGCATAGCATCGTCCATGCAACGCTTGGCAGGCAGCTTAGATTCAATCGCCGTCGATACGGATCCGTCATCCGTATCAGGATAGTATGAAACACCGAGCTCATACTCTGTGAAGACATGAGTGTCTTCATGACCAGCGCCTGCATCACCAAGTGACACAGGCTGAGTCGCTTCAGCAACCGATGAGACATCAGTTGCTGTGGTTTCTGCTTCGGCGTCCGCACAGAGACGTGCAGACGCGCTCTCGGCGGCCTTGCTCGCGCATCGGATTGGCTTGTTAACCATGCAATGAATTGTTGGAAAGTGGACTCGGACCAACAAGTGCAAACCCTGTCCTAAATGATTTGGGACGAGTATCCATTTTAGTCAATCAGTCACTAAAGTGACTGATGGTTAAGGGGGGGGTGATGTAACGGGGTGAATCGTTACATAACAACTTATAAGAAATTGTTAACAGAATATAACTAAAAGAGTTATATTCTCAGAATATTGTCATAAGGACAAATGTTCTGCAGAACTTACGAGTAGTTCCTAATTGGTTGATATTTGCCGTTATATCAACCAACGAAGACGCGCCACGACGGACGCACGCAATGAGTGGTGAGCAGATAACTGATTTACACATTTGTATTTAGACATAGTTAGATGAAGATAAATAGTGATTTATTAACAGACATTAACTATTATAAATACAGTTCTACTTTTTACTTTAACCAAGTACTCGCTTCTTCTTACCGTCTTCCTCTGCACGTACGAGTGTACGTGAAGTTCCGAGGCACCGCCTTATTCTGTCATCAGAATAAGTAGCTTGTACTGTCACCAGTACAAGCTTTAGGGTGCCCCGTTACAAGGTGTTGGTAGTTCTCCCACGTTTTGCGCCTGGCTTGCTCTCGCGACCGATGTGAATACAGAAAAGACATTCCACTGAGAACATAGTGCACGGTTGTTGCGGGTACCAGGGCTTTAGTTTGGTTCATTTGTTAGCCGTTAGAATGTGCTTTTTATTGTGGGAGAGTCAATCTTGGGTCCCCGTTTCTCTTGTTTTTAAAATTTTTGTACACGATTATTACGGACTCGCTCACTCGCCTTTTAAATTTAGTGATCTCCCAATCACAATCTTCCTATGGATCTAAGCTATTTCCAAACTAGGTTATTTACGGCTCGCTAGAAATATAACTTACGGCGTCAAATTCGTAAATAACCCGAATGCCCGTAGATGAAGAGGCCTGACCATGGTTGACATCAAAACCAATAAGTTAAGCAAAGGTTACATTTTATTGGGAGTAAAAATTAAGTGGTGGAGGAAGGCTGTGATGTACTCATGCCCAAATGCTCCTCATTTTGAGATCTGCTAGCAGCCTTCCCAACCGAAGCAATGCGCATGCTCTGGCCCGTCCTCACCGCTCCCGGCATCTGTTTCGTAAGATGCACTCAAGCGCTGATCGATAACGAACCGGCAAATGTTGCTACTATCAGCTCAAGCGCGATTCCACAACCTGACAAGAACTCATCTGATCTGGACAGTTCTGTGGAGTCGTACAGCTCAGCTGTGTACACATCCGCGTCCGGTGGTCAACGTATGGAGTCGAATGGTCCGATTGTAGACGAGATCGGCCATGGAGACAACGAGCAGGAGCAGCGGTTTGCTCCTATGGACCTCGTGTCATCTTTGCCCGCGTCAGTAATTCGAGCCAAGAACTTCGTGATGACGCGGCTTCACCACGACCGCAATACGAATGAGTTAAAACGTCTTGTTTTTCATAAGGAAAATCACCTTGACGCAGTGAAATTCGCAAGCTGGCTGTCAAATTCCCGCCGTAATGTGAATAGTGAAAAAGTGGTTCGCTACTATCGTCGTGTCATTGATGTATTGGCGCTCTACCACCAGCCAAAGGAGGTGGTAGAGGTACTGAACATTCTACAAAAGGACCATCTATATAATTCCGAGATTAATATGCTATTCGCAGCATTACTTTCGCGCTACCCTGATGAACAAAATATGATATTAAAGGCGTGGGTGATTCCGAAGGGGACGCCTGGCCGATTCCGCGAGCTCTCGAAATTGGAACCGAAGGACATGCATGTTGTATCGTACCTGCAATCAAGGGCACCAGATACAAGGGACTGGGTGAGAACGAGCGCACGGACAATGCGCATATCACCGAAACCGAGGCAAAACGTTCCTACGGAGACGAAAGTCCAGTTGCCATAACCGAGACGGCTGAATAAATGAAGGGACTTGAAGACATTGCCAAATGCTGTCTAAAGCTCAGCACGATGGCCAGTTAAGTGAAACAGTGAACCGACAACGAAGACGAACATGCGCCGCACGATCATGGGACGAAGAATGGGTGGCGTCGAGCGAGGGGGCGCAGTTGGTAACTAAGGTAGTTACCGTTGTTGTGGTAATGAGCAAAAACATTTGGTGTTTGCCACGAAGAATCTCTTAGGCTTTAAGTAGCATGAGTAGCATGCTAAGTAAAAACGTTTGATACATCGTTTCATGCATTCAATCACTCAAATGTCATTTTCGTTGTTGTATGTTCAGCAGCCGTAGTGGCGAGGGCTGCATTGCTATTAAACCCTGACAACATGTGTTGAAGAGCGAACGTTTTTATGGAGACGTCGGTGTGTTACGATGAAGCTTTTCCAAATAGCCATCAAATGCTAGTGATCAAGAAGAACCCATGGATCGCATGGAATAATCGCCATGCAAATCGAATTGAAGAAACTAGTGCTGCCGATTTGTCAAGTGGAAGCATGCGATTGTCCTATTAGCGTTTGAATGAGGATAAGCGTCTGCCGTTCCACGAGCTTTCCTTGATCAGCGCGCGATATCAGGAAACTTACTGACGGCTATTGCCAGCCGTTCTTGGCTCACGTCCGGCAACCATACCACAGAGCTGCTACTCTTGTTGCCATCGTGGTGACTCTACCTCCTCCATAACACGAGCTCCGTTGTAACGGGGCACCCTGAAGCTTGTACTGGTGACAGTACAAGCTACTTATTCTGATGACAGAATAAGGCGGTGCCTCGGAACTTCACGTACACTCGTACGTGCAGAGGAAGACGGTAAGAAGAAGCGAGTACTCGGTTAGAGTAAAAAGTAGAACTGTATTTATAATAGTTAATGTCTGTTAATAAATCACAATTTATCTTCATCTAACTATGTCTGAATACAAATGTGCATATCAACTATCTGCTCACCACTCATTGCGTGCGTCTGTCGTGGCGCGTCTTCGTTGGTTGATATAATGGCCTATATCAACCAATTAGGAACTACTCGTAAGTTCTGCAGAACATTTGTCCTTATGACAATATTCCGAGAATATAACTCTTAAAGTTATATTCTATTAACAATTTCTTATAAATTGTTATGTAACGATTCACCCCGTTACATCACCCCCCCCTTAACCATCAGTCACTTTAGTGACTGATTGACTAAATGGATACTCGTCCCAAATCATTTAGGACAGGGTTTGCACTTGTTGGTCCGCGTCCACTTTCCAACATCTCATCGCATGGTAAACAAGCCCATGCGATGCGCGAGCAAGGCCGCCGAGAGCGCGTCTGCACGTCTCTGTGCGGACGCCGAAGCAGAAACAACAGCAACTGATGTCTCATCGGTTGCTGAAGCGACCCAGCCTGTGTCACTTGGTGATGCAGGCGCTGGTCATGAAGACACTCGTGTCTTCACAGAGTACGAGCTCGGTGTCTCATACTATCCTGATACGGATGACGGATCCGTATCGACGGCGATTGAATCTAAGCTGCCTGCCAAGCGTGGCATGGACGATGCTTTGCGTCGCAGCATCTTTGGTTCATCTGATGAATCAGATGAACCATCGCCGAAGCGAAGGCGCTCAAAGTCGCAAGACTCGGGCGCTAATAGTGGTGTCGGTTCTCCTATGGACACCACTTCACAGCGAGGTGCCAGTACTTCTGTCGGCACTTCGCAGGAAGAGCGGGACCGCAATGTCTTGCGTCTCGCTCCTGAGAAGAAGGCATGGATGCCTCCTAAATCTGTCATGGATCACTTGTCGTCGACGACGAGTGATCGTTATCGAACACGGTTGTTCGATTCATCAAGGATCCATCACCTTGACCCCAGCGCGAAAAACTATCGCGCTGGGAATGAATTCTTCATCGATGCTTTCTTTAGACATCGATGGTACAGTGGGAATCACAAGCGTGATGGTCCCTCACTACTTCAAGCGTGGAACGCCTACATCCATAACCTTGAGGATGTAGGTCGTGACTCTTGGAACGACAAACTTATCAAAGCTCGTGATAAGTTTGAAAAGCGAACCCCGACAGGTGCACGCTACAAGCTGCATCTTCTGTCAAGGGAGAAAGGACTACCCTGCCTCTCTTGGGGAGACTCGTGCCCGTGTTGTGTGAACAACTCTGCACGAGCACCTAAGGAGGCTTACCTCCTTACCAGCCCGTGGTGGCGCGTACGAGTCTCTACTGAGATGTACGAAGGGATTGACAACTTGAAATCCCTTTACGACCGTGCCGGGAAGACTTTCTCCGGCGGTCCTTCTGCGGCACAGGATGTGCCGCGTCGTACTGCTCGACCAGACCCAGTACGTCGATCATCAGTTGGGAGCGGGGCTCCCAAGTATCCCAGGACGGGGGATAGCCGCGCCACCGGACGAGATAACTCATCCGACGTCCGTTCACGTCGCGGTGGTTCAACAGCTGCTCAACTAGATAGCGCTGGCCACCGCGAGAGTCCTCTAATGGAGGTGGAGGAGGAGGAAAGACGCTCTCCACACAATCGTGGGGAAGCGTGTGTTCCCGAGAGCTTCTTTGATAGCGTAACGCAAGGGTTTCGCAACGATCTCGAACATGAGCGGGACAGGCGTCTCCAACTGGCGGACACTGCCTCGAAGCATCGAGCTGAGTTTGCCTTTGCTCAGCTCGAGAACGAGAGATCTCTGACATCTCTTCGTGACGAGCTAAGGGTAGCTCGTGGGATTGTTGATCGGTCTCGGGCTGAGATAACTGCTCTTCAGACCCTTGTTGATGCCCACCATCGGGAGCACAAGGCTCTCTGCGAGATGCTTGAGCGCAAGGGCGTTCTTCATCGGAAGAAGCAGCGTACTGATGGTACGGCTTAAGCCGACCAACGTAAAACGTGGGATGCGTTCGCATCTTACGTGGCAACTCGATCGTGTATGCATTGCCTAGGCGATGCAATACACGGAATGGGCCGATGTACTTGGGTAGAAGTTTACTGCTACCCAAGTTAGTTACTACATGCTTTGGTAGATTAACCGTAGACAGTAGGACTAAGTCACCTTTATGAAATAAAAGAGTGTTTGCCCTTCCATTCTTGCCAGCGTTTTGCTTTTGCTTATCCACCGCTTCGGCGATGGCGTCTTGCACAAAACGGACTACCGTTTCACGAGCCAGTATGAACTCATCTGATGACTCGTTAGCTTCAGTGTGCTGTGAGCGCACTGCAGCAACATCAATCTTTTCTTCAGTGAGGGCTTCCGCACTCTCACTGGGATCATCTTCTTCAGTGAGGGCTTCCGCACTCTCACTGGCATCATCTTCTTCGATATCGATGTTATCGATATCGGCATCAAACGCAATGACTTCTTCGTCAGAGCGTGATGAGCGTGAACCAATTCGGTTTTTGCTCGCGCGAGTCCCTCCCCCCTTAAACCAGAGTTACACTCTAGTAAGGTGGGTACACGCGGATGGCGCAAGCCATTCACGTAAAACGGTGTATGTGTCGTGGACGCATGCACCGAGTTGTTAATGCCAAACTCTACCATTGGCAAGAACTCACTCCAACTCTTAAAGGAGTGTACGTATCCTCGAAGTATCTCTTCAAGGACACGATTGGCACGTTCCGTCTGACCATCTGACTCTGGATGATCAGATGTCGACATCTTCAAGCGCGTTCCGAGTGATTTGAACACGGAACGCCAGAAATCAGCAGTGAATCGTGGATCTCTGTCTGATACGAGTTCACGGGGCAACCCATGAAGTCGGAAGATGGTGTCAATAAAGACACAAGCACAGTCACTTGCCGTGATTGACTCTGGTACAGCCACAAGGTGTACCATTTTGCTGAATCTGTCAACAAAAACGAGAATACCCGTATTCCCGCGTGCGTCTTTGGGTAACCCGAAGACGATATCCATGGAGATGGATTCCCAGCACTCAGCCGGAACCGGTAGAGGCTGTAAAGGTGCACGCAGTGAAGGACTTGACTTCACTCGTTGGTAGACTTCGCATGCGCGAACATACTTGCGCACAAACTGATACTGGCGGGGCCAGTAAAAGTCTCGACTCACCGTGAGATATGTTCTCTCACGGCCACGATGCCCTCCTATAGGAGCATCGTGATACTCGAACATGATCCGCAAACGCAGATCAGTATCATCTGGAATGACAACACGTGGTGTGTCACCAGAACGGCTGTATAATACAGTTAACCGTTGCGAGTAGTGTATAGATCTGATGCAGATCGATACGCAGGCGACAATCGTTTCAACGATTCTCGGGATGGTTGGGAGAGATGTGTCAACAACTTCACAATCTCACCATCTTGGGCGTATGCCCGCCTCACATCATCATACAACGTTGTAGATGGGACTGAGGACGTCATAACCGCAACAGTGACTGTCTCATTGTTGGGTTTCACGACTAGTTCAAAGTCGGGGCGACGTGAGAGTGCATCAGCGACGACATTAAGTCGTCCTGGTTTGTACTCGACCGTAAAGTTGTATTCTGCAAAGAATGACAACCACCGCGCCATTCGTTGTGAAAGGTGCGGGCTGTTCACTGCCGTGCGTAATGACGCATGGTCAGTGTAAACAATGAAGGGTCTATCTCCTAATAGATAGACTCTGAACTTCGCGAGTGCATACTTCATGGCAAGGAGTTCCTTGTCATGCACTGGATAGTTCCGCTCAGCTGGTTGCAGCTGACGCGACTGATAGCAGACGACGCGTTCAACGCCTTCAAGATCGTACTGCATTAATGCACAGCCGATTGCGAAATCGCTGGCATCACAGACCACATGAAATGGCCTGTCCTGATCGGCTATTGCTAGGACTGGGGATCGTATCAAGCTCTGCTTGATACCCTCAAAGGAGCGCTGACATTCAGCGTTCCATAACCACCTCTCGTTCTTTTTCAACAAACGAGAGAGGTGCACAGTCATCTCGGCGTAATTGCGTGAATACTTGTGCAAATACGCCGCTAGCCCAAGGAATTTTCGAAGGCCTTTGACATCGACCGGCACAGGCCAGTCGGTGATCGCCTTGATCTTTTCGGGATCAGGACGTACACCGTTCTTACCAACGATGCACCCAAGAAGTGGTATTTCGCTTGCTGCAAATATACACTTCTTGAGGTTAGCATACAATTGATGCTTTCGCATGATTGTAAGAACTTGTCGGACGTGGTACCTGTGAACCTCAACGTCCGACTTTCCATCCATAGCTCGACTATGGATGAAAACGTCATCGAAATAACTCGGCGCTAATTCTCGTACTGGTATCAACAGATGTGATACACATCTGTTGAACGTGGCAGGGGCATTACTGAGCCCTTGTGGCATTACTAGCCATTCCCAGAGCATGCCGCTAGGCGTGTTAACTGCGGTATAGGGTATATCCCGTTCCCGCATAAGGATTTGATAGAAGCCATCCATCAAATCCATGGACGAAAGATGGTACTCTTTGACATACCATCAATGATTACGTCCTTCCTCGGTATCGGCGTCTGAGCCGGTACCGTTGCAGCGTTCAATTTGTTGAACGCGTGCACTATCCGCCACCCTCCTGTTGCTTTTCGCACACAGAAGGTCGGAGAGCTATGTGGGGAAGTTGATTCCCTCACATGGCCCGCAGCTAAACGATCGGCAAAGAACTTGTCGATCGCAAGTACTTGTTCACGAGGCAGTGGCCACTGCTTCATGACACAGTACTTCGAGCCTGGTTTAAGCTCGACCTCGTGTCGAATACCTTTATCCTTCGGTAATTCGCACGGAACAGTTTCAGGGAATACATCCTTGAATTCAACCAAATCTTCATAGAGAGGATTTGTCTTGAGCGATTCCCATGATTGGGAGTCATATCGCTCAATTCGTGTCTTTTCATCTAGGAAACTCTCGTCCATAGATGAACTACTGAGAACTCTCTCGTTCTCAGTGAACACTGTTGCTGACCTTATGTCGGTTACACACTCGTCGTCAGCGACGAGTACGCAGATCTGCTTGACTTTGCCACTACGCAGATCACGCAAGAACCTTTTATGTTCGAGCGTTGGCAACTGAGTGATCTCCAAAGTTAACTTCGGAGGCGCAATCAGATCAAGTGTACAAGCGCCTACACTTGATCCATCATTGACTATGACATTCAATGTCTCTGTCATTTCCTGGGGACTTATTCCCTCAGGTCTCGAAGGACTTATTCCTTCGGCTTCCGGGGGACTTATTCCCGCGGGTTTCGGGGAACTTATTTCCGCCTTATTTGTAATCTTGGGACTTATTCCCTTTACTTCCTCAAGCTGGCGTTGCGCAACCACAGCGAGATCCTCTACGAAAGACTCTCCAGTCGATCTAGGATTATCGTTTCGCTTAACCTGAGCGATCGATTGTTTCTCTTCTAGATGTTCCCCGCTAGGGATACATCTTTGTCCCAGTCTACCCGACTTATTCGAGTGGTGGACCTTCGGCGCAGCCTGTGTTTCCTCACAGCCGCCGGAACTTTGCTCCGAAGTGTAACCGTTTGTTACACTAAGGTTTTGTGCAGTCGTACTAACGACCGTACCACAAGTGAGGCCATCGCACTCACTCGTAGTACATCCACACGCTTGTGGACGCTCCAAAACGTTCATCAGATGGCCATCTGATGAACAAGCGGCAGGCATCGTTACTGTCCGATGTTGCCAGTTTACCCGTGGTTCGTACCTTCTGAGCCACGGTATTCCAAGGATGACATCAAATTTGTCATCCAAATCCAATACGATAAAGTCATCATCATATTGGGTATTTTCTAGCGTATAGTGGATCTTCACTATACGCTTCATGACGGTTACGGATGCGCCTGTCGCAAGACGTACCGTCATCCTCGTAGGAGGTGTGTCACATTCAACAAACTTGAAGTGACCATCTTCTAGCGATTGGCGTTGCACAAAATTGTTGGACGCCCCACAATCGACTAGAGCTCGAAGGGACAACTTATTTGTCACTTCGAGTTTCAAGGTAATGAGTGAGATCTCATTACCTAGAGCAGCAACGCACAACGTTTGTGTGTTGGGAGCAACCTTCATCAAGAGGCCTACAAATTCTCTTGACGTTGCTAGACCAGTAGGGTGCTCCGCACCTACTGATCCTGTCCGTTTTTTTACGGTCCATCCCGTTGTTGCGTCTTTGCACCAACAGCGGACCCGCGTCCCTGCCCCTTTCTCATGGGTGGACGGTCACTACGCCCAGTGTTGCGAGACACTGGACGAGGGGCACTACACTCGTAAGCGTAGTGTCCTGTCTTCTGACATCTGTTGCATCTCTGCAACTTCTTGTAGCCTGTAGAGCGAGCCTTCTCGCTCTCTACATAACAGAGTTCCATCGGCTCTGGACCTCCGTTGTCATATCGTCTCGGTTGACGATATAATGTCGAGCTGGCGCGAGCCTGTCTCAGACTGAAGTCTTCCTGCTCCGCAATGGAAATGGCTTGTTCTAGTGAATCTAGTTCAAGCCGGAACAGGTGAGTCTTGACGGGACCATCCGCAAGACCCTGCATGAACACCGAAACCAACGTGTGTTCATCCACCGGATTGGAACTTATACAACTCGTAAGATGTCGTATATGTTGGGCGTAAGCGTGCACATCACGCTTACCCTGTTTGAGCTTCAAGAGTTCGGTTCGAGCCCTGAACTCAGCTCTAGGCGGTTCAAACGTTTGTCTGAGCCGCGACTTGAAGACTTTTACCGACCCAAACGCATATGGGTCGTGCAACTTGAGCCCCAGTGCCCAAGTCTTGGCACGTCCTGCCAGATTTGACTGGGCAAATGCAACTTGCATATACCCGTCGTCGATGCGACGCGCCCTTATGGCGTCATCCAATTCGACGAACCATCTCAAGAGGGAGTCTTCTTCGACCCCCCTATACTTTGAGATGTCAATCTTCAAGGTTTCGGGTCGACGCGAGTGCATCGACCCACCAGCAGCAGCCTGCTGCTGTCTCAACAGTTCAAACTGTTGAGCACCCTGTTCTCTCAACAACTCTGCTTGTTGAGAACCTTGTTGGTGAAGCAAGGCTACTTTCTCGCGTTCAGCGTCAAGTTCATTTTGAATGAACTTGGCGATAGTAGCATGTTGGGCATCTCTATTGAGAGCCTCTAGCATGACGCTAACAGCATGGATGCCCATGGTCGAACCCATTCGTTCAACCGCATCCCATTCGACATCGCTCAAATGGGAGTAGCCGTCACGCGTAGCGTGAAAGCTTTGGTCATCTTCATCATCCAACATATTCATGTTGGATGTGAACGCGGTCCTTGGACGGACTACGAAGTGTTACCAGGTGTAACGGGGCACCCTGAAGCTTGTACTGGTGACAGTACAAGCTACTTATTCTGATGACAGAATAAGGCGGTGCCTCGAAACTTCACGTACACTGGTACGTGCAGAGGAAGACGGTAAGAAGAAGCGAGTACTTAGTTTAAGTAAAAAGTAGAACTGTATTTATAATAGTTAATGTCTGTTAATAAACCACTATTTATCTTCATCTAACTATGTCTGAATACAAATGTGTAAATCAAATATCTGCTCACCACTCATTGCGTGCGTCTGTCGTGGCGCGTCTTCGTTGGTTGATATAATGGCCTATATCAACCAATTAGGAACTACTCGTAAGTGCTACAGAATATTTGTCCTTATGACAATATTCCGAGAATATAACTCTTAAAGTTATTATCTATTAACAATTTCTTATAAATTGTTATGTAACGATTCACCCCGTTACATCCGTCACCCGATATCTGTATATGTAGCGGAAATTGGCCTACTGTCAGACCGGTCAGTATCGGGTTGTCCAGCATAATCGCCGACAGTCTATCATGGCGACGACCATACCTTTGTTTGCCTCCATAAGTTGGTGTTATAATGCCCTAAAATCGCGACTCACTTTAACATATTGACGAGCGTTGTCGGCGTGCAGCACGTGTGCGCTAACTGGGCCGACGTTATGCCGTGACCAGCGCACACGAGTTCTCTCTTCCCTCTCCAAATTGTGTGCGTGATTACAGACATCTCCGCAATAAGTGGCATAGTAGACAACTCAATTGCGTCCAAGTGGATCCCATATTCGTATCGAAAGCGACTAGCATTTCCGTCGCACCGCGTGAGCAGATTCGCTACAAACGGACTCCTTGATAGTCTGTTAGTGTACCAGAGAGATCACCATGTCTTTTTCGAGTGCCCTTTGAGAGTATCAAACTCGCGAACCGAGCTACGTTTGGCTAGAAGCATGCGATCCGCATGTAGAATCGTGTTTACGCGGCGAAATTGACAGTTAAGTGATTTTCACATTGATGCCGCTGAGCAAGAATTACAAGAGCGAGCAACATACATGGGCGTACACTTATGTGTACCCTCCTAAGGTCACTCAAAGCCCAAATAGCCACTTTGTCACCATGAGCCGTCTGCCACGAGAAAACATTGTCGACGCAAGGATGCGATCTATTGTTTTGGAAAAATCTCCCCACTTAAGCAGTTCAGTCAAGCACAACAAATGACGGACTTCTAAAGACCCACTCCCGATCATTCATGCTCGATGTACTTGCGGAAGATGCTCTGTCTTTTTTTTCAGCGGCCCTCAGTTGGTTATCTCGCCAATCGTAGAATTCATGGTGTTCGCAGGTTTTGACGTTATGCCTCATCATAGCTCTCGGTGGCTATCGCTTGAGCTGAGTTCGGAGATCCATGTTTTCGCTTCCGTGACAATTTTTCCTTTTTGAGGAACAGCTGGGCAGTAACACTGTCATTGGTGAATGGCACAACAGGCACCCGCATAACAGCAAGTTCATCATTCGGGTCGAATGAGTCCACGTCAAAAGTGGGACATCTAGGACACTTAATGTTCCAACAGTGGCCGGTTGATTCCTAATGGTCAATGGTAAGAACAGTACAACAACGTGTCAGAGTAGGCACAAATACCTATCACGCGCTGCATCATACCTCTTTTTCTACGCCACAAATTTCACATTGTGGGACGACGACTAGATCAACCACAGAGAGATCACTTTTGTCCCAGAACCCATTTTCCAGATAATTCAAATTCAACCGCGCTTGCCACTCGCTAAGGTTTGGGCGTTTTTTCAGCTTTTCACGCCGACGCAATGCAAATCGCTTTACAACGTCTTGGAAGGCAATGTACCGTGAAGGTGTCGTACCCATTAGGACAGCGTCATCATCGAGCCCAAGTTTCTCCCGGGCTTTGACATTATTGCGATTGCGGCTATTCTGACGAGCGGTCTTGGGAAGGCTGTCATTAGCAAGTTGTAAATCTTTCTTTTTGAACACTTGAAGCACCTTCGTGGTTTGGATTTCTACCGTGCACGTATCACGATCCGCCTTTTTCACAATGCCAAAGCCCTTGCGATTTGGCAGATTCACCTTCTTTGCTATCCAAGAAATCCCGTAGCTCCCGCGAGTTGACACACGGCGAGAACGTTCCCCACTGTCATCGTCGCCCTGAGAGTCCTCAATTTGTTCTGCTGTTAGAGCGTCATCCAATTCGCTAGTGTTAGTATCGTCGTCGTCGTCATCCTCGACTCTGTCATCGCCTCGGTAATTGATCCGATTCACCCGATTTTCCGCACGACGTTTTCGTTCCTTTTCAACACTCTTAGCGTGCAGTACCTTGATCGTTTCCAGGTCCTCGAGCAAGGTGAGTTCGTACGCACGCTTGGCTGTGTTCTCACTCGAGTTTTCGAGTTTCAGCTGCACCCAGCCATTACCTGAGCGGAGCACACGACCATGTTGACCCTTAAACTTGCCGACATTAATTCGGCACTTGCGCTCTATCCACATGTCCGGATCCAGAACTGCTAGTAACTTTCCCTTCGATCGCCTCTTCTTTTGAACACCAGCGACTTTTTTCCTTTGGTCCTCGTTTCCAATCCCTACGCCATTCTCTTCATCCTCTCCATCCTCTTCGTCATCATCTTCACCGTCATCTTCGTCATCTGGTATTACCACGAGATGTTTTCGACGCAGTGTCAAAGCAATGTCCTCGTCCGCGTCCAGTTGCACCACAAAGCCTGTCTTACTATGACCCACCACAACTCCTTCCATCCCATCGTAGTTTTTTAGATACCGTTTTTCGGTGCCGTGCAGGATCGCTAACTTTAGCTGAGCGCGTGTGCCTGGCATCAGACGCTCGTCTTCCCTCTTCTTTTTCTCCTTCTTCTTTCGCTCATATACTTCGTCGTCTATTTCTTCCTCTTCTCCCTCTTCCATTGACTCTTTTTCTATCTCCCCCTGACGGGCCACGGAGATTTGACGCGGACTAGTGACCTCGTCCCCGTCTTCCACAACTTCTAGTGCCGACGGGCGGTACTTGTACACCACATCTCCGTCCCGTATCCGCACCTTGAACCATGTATTCGGGTGCTGTGGAACCTCCTCCACTACTCCCACCTTGTGAGCCGTGTGTGGCACGCGCTGCTCCACGTCGGGCGTCTTGAGGATGCTTACGAGCGTCCCTTGTTGCAGCGTGTGCAAGTCTCGACTTGTGACCGAGATGCGACACGCAGAGTCAATGGCGTCCAGCTCAGCCTCATCAGCCTCGTCCACAGGCGGCTCCTCTTCGTCCCCTTCCTCCTCAATCTCTTCCTCCTCTTCTTCCTCTTCTTCTTCTTCTTCCTCCTCCTCCGCTTCTTCGACTTCCTCGTCCTCTTCTTCGTCCACAGAAGATCCTTCTCCATGCACAGACTCGTGCCACATGCGCCTTGCCGGCTTTGCCGTGGTTCGAGTAGCACGTTGGACGCTGCGCCGCGGCCGCTCTTCCATCGCGACTTGATTCCTAAACTCACTACTGGCCGATGGATCCAGGCATATGCGTTATGAGAGGATTATTGTGTGGCGCACACACGCACGATCGCACACATGGATGCGCTTTTTGCGATACCGTCACAGCAAAATGACGACGGCCGAGGCAACGGACAAGGGCGATACGGGAACGGCTGCTGAAGCCGCCGCCTCTTCTGCCGGTAAGACCGAGTCGGACGAGGTAGAAGACGTGAACGTTAACGTGCCTCAGATTGCACCGCTGGCCAAGTACAAGCTCGTGTTCCTAGGGGATCAGGGCGTCGGCAAGACGTCCATGATCACGCGCTTCATGTACGACACGTTCGACAACGCGTACCAGGCGACGATCGGGATCGACTTTCTGTCGAAGACCATGTACATGGAGGATCGCACGGTTCGGCTGCAGCTCTGGGACACGGCGGGGCAGGAGTGAGTGAGCGGCGCGTCGGTTGATGAAAACTTGTTGCTGGGGTCCCACTTATCCCATTGCTTCTGTTTGTCGCTGTGAACTCGCTAGACGATTTCGGAGTCTCATTCCGAGCTACATCCGGGACTCGTCAGTGGCGGTTGTGGTCTATGACATTACAAGTACGAGCTCGAGGTTTCGGTCGTTCGTGAGCTGAACGCAACGGGACGTTGGTACTGACTATAAACCTTCTCTTGCTCGTAGACCGCGCGTCGTTTCTAAATACAGGCAAGTGGGTCGAAGACGTGCGCACCGAGCGTGGACAGGACGTGGTCATTATGCTCGTTGGCAACAAGACGGATATCTCGGACCGGCGTCAGGTGTCTGTCGAGGATGGCTCAGATATGGCCAAGGAGCAGAACGTCATGTTCATCGAAACAAGTGCCAAGGCTGGCTACAATATCAAGGCGCTTTTTCGTAAGCTGGCGACGGTGTTGCCTGGCATGGAAAACACCATGATTAGTGGAGACTCTAATCGTGCGTCGAGCTCCTCGGTTGTTGATACTGTGACGTTTTTGTGGCCGTGGCTGACTGTGCTTTCTGGTTGTTGTTGTTGTTGTTGTTGTTTGATCATGCAGTGATTGATATTAAGCTGACGGCTGCACCACCTCCAAAGGATAAAGCTGCAGAGCAATGCAATTGCTAAGGTTTGGTGGAGGATTTGCAATGGAAGACGTTAGTGGATAGCAGGTACGCCGGTTACACCCGAAGCGTTGGACAGCAGACATTATTAAAGTTAAGTAAGATGCGCGCTGTACCTACAATGGTTTGTGCGCATGCTTGCAGCCCCTCGTTTTACCAGCATCACTATTTGTTAAGTCAGGAGCAGAGTCACGCGAGCCGATAGAGCTTTCCACGTCAACTATTGCGAATCAGGTTCGTGTCGCACCAGATTCCTGTTGAGAAGGGCAATGCAAAGCCTAAAATGAGATTCTCAAGCTTCAGCACAGCATCGGATTTGCTTCAATTGCCTATTTGTCGACACGTATTGAGAATGAAAATGTGTTCACTCTGTAGCGCCAACGTCGCCACACCACAAGCACCAAATTGGATCATGCAGCTCCAGTCGTCGCAATCGAGAAGTGCTTCTTTTGGCTGAGCATGATTTTTGCTTTTAGGTCGTGCTGCTATCTCTGGCCATGCTTTTTCGTATGTCACTTTAAGTATTTAGGCACGTACAGCGTCCGATGCGGCTTCTTATCTTCAGTTGGATCGCCGTCACAACGCTTTGCATCTTTTTCGCTTGAAATTACGCTGCCATGCGAATCACTTCTTGATAACGGCAATGTATGCTGGTTATTTGCATGCTTTTTAGGCGAGCATCTGTATGGAGGTAGCGCATCTGGCTCACGTTTAGAGTCCTCAGTCGCTTCCACATTGCCGTCCACGTTCGTCCAGCCGAACGTCTCCGGTTCTGTCGTTCTGCTCGTCTTCTGGCTTACTAAGGATCTCATCGTGGCAAAATTTTGAGGCTTCATTCAAAAGCGCGTCCATGTCCTTACAACATGTGTCACTATTGACTCCAGCAGCCATTTCTTTCGCGGGAATCGGTGCCCGTGAGTCTTCTGGTATCGTCATCTCCGACACGATTTCGTTGGCCACCTCGATCATTTCACCATCATCATTGTCAACCGCGGACGGTCGAATCTTCGTGCTCGACTTTTTCGTCGACTTCCGCATGGACACAGCGTCATACCGAACTCGGTTTTGCTGCACTATCAAGCCGTCATGGCTCCGCTGGTACGCGTCCTGGATTCCCTTGAGCACACCACCTGGTTTCCAATCGATCAAGTTCGCGATACCGAAGAGCTCTCCCCGCTGGTGTGGGTTTCCTTGAACACCTTCAAAGTAACGGGGTGCGTTGGCACCCTTCAAGGTCGTGTCGCTGAGCTGCTGCTTATAAATTTGCCGAACGTAGATCATCTCTTCGATTGTTCCGAGGGTAATAAGTCTGTAAACCTGCACATCTTTGGTCTGACCGATCCGATACGCCCGATCCTGAGCCTGACAGTCGTGTGCTGGGTTCCAGCTGGGGTCAAAAATCACGACATTCGTTGCACTTTGTAAGTTTAGACCCACACCGCCAGCCCTCGTACTGATCAAAAACACAGTAGTATTGCTGTCAGGATTGTTGAAGTCATTGACCATTTGCAAACGCTCCTCCACTTTCGTCGTTCCGTCCAGTCGACTGTACCTTGTCGCCTTTGCAATTATAAAGAGCTGGATGATGTCCAGCATTCGAGTGCTTCGACTAAAGATAAGAGCGCGTTCCCGGCGTTTCTTCCACACCGACAGCAACTTCTCTAGTACTATCATCTTCCCGCACGCCTTCGTCGATATAGAGCACATTTCTTGAAAGCTTGACACCTGGTTTACACCCCCAACAGCATCGAGGTCGCTACCGAAAGCTGTTCTTGCAAATTCAGCTTGGTACTGTTGTATCTCCAACCCATCACACGGATTAACCTTCAGTAACTCTAAATGATTCGATAGCTTCAACAGCATGGCCACACATGGAAGACACATGCAATTTGGGCAATAGCTGCACGGTTTATCGTCGTAAAAACGCTCGTACAGCAATCCAGGGGCATCACTGATATCTTTAGGTGTTTTATAGCAGCACTTTTTTCGTTTCTCGTTACTATCGCGACCGCAATCGCATTTCTCTTCGCCTCGTCGAAGAAGTTGAAACTCGGGCATCGCCAATACCCGTCGATATGCTGCCATCTGCAGCGGCGTAAGGTCACAGAAAATCACTTGGTCATTCTTTTTGACTTCTCGAAACGTCGGATTGACTTCTTTCTCTCGCCGAAGGTAGTACAGTCGCAGCTTTCTGCGCAGCTCTTTTTCTTTGTGACGACTTCGCTGAACGGCTTCAGGAGCAGCAGACTTTTTCCTACCATATTTGATATCGTTTCCGTAATACATACTAAACTCGATCCACGACCCAATAGCTCCCGGGGCGATTGTGTCAACCAAGCAATGAAGTTCCTTCTCATTATTTTGCATCAATGTACCAGTAAGTCCAAGCTTCTTGCGGCACAGAATCGCTTTGACAGCTTTAGTAAGTTGAGATTCGGGGTTCTTCAGGCAGTGCATTTCATCCAAGATCACAGTCTCCCACGGAATTTTGTACAACCGACTCGTATACATCTTCAGAATATCATAGCTGCAAATGACGATTTCGTATTCCCCCCTGCAAAAATTGCAACGCGGACATGATGAGGTGTTAGCGCAAGCTTGTTTTCAACACCACGACCGAGTACAGGCCCACCTGGCAATCTGGTCGATCATTGCGTCGCGGTCACTCGATCTTCCGCGCAAGATGACAGTAGTGCAACTCATCCAAGTACAAAGCTCTTGTTCCCAGTTTTGAAGCAAAGATGCAGGCATTGCGATTAAAATTGGCGCCGTCTCACCATCAAAGCTAAATTCCCAGTCTTCTGGATGACCCATGCAATCACTGTCATTAAACCGCTCACGACGCTGGCGCAGCAGTACTCTCCAGGCATCTTTGTCACGATAATCACCACGCTTGCCAAGAATCGCTGATAAGAATGCAATGACCTGAATCGTCTTTCCTAGACCCATGTCGTCACCCAAAATTGCGCCAGTGTTCCGCCGATAAGCGCTGTAAAGAAAATTAACACCTTCGCGCTGATAGTCACACAGATAACTGTTCATATTCGCACATACTTCAAGTGCATTGGAGTTGGCATCCTCCGATGATATTAGGATCATAGGTCCAGCGTTGATCTGCTCAGAACAGTGCATTCATACGTGAATACATAGACTTCCGACATCTAGTACAACTTGATGGTCACCTTCGGCAATTCCAGCTGCGGCCATCGATCGACTGTGTAGACCTCCTTGCCATCTTCGCTAGAATCACTCCCGTCTGTTCGTACTCGATTATGTAATAGCTTGTTCGACGACGTTCGGTTTCCCTCCTCAATTTGTCGACTATTCAGAGCACTTTGTCGGACAGAATTTACGTATTTCTTACCTTCCGTCACGATAACATTGCTAGAAATCGTCTGGTTGCTCGAAGGTGCTTCCTTCGAGTCGGACATCCATTCGTCTGCATCGTCATCGATTCTGGGAAGAGCAGAGCCGAAGACATGTTGCCGTCGTGGTCTGGCAGCCCACACATTACCGTTTACATCATTGCTGTAACCTTTATGACTAAATCCCATCACGCTACCAGCCATAACGTCCGCCGCTTGTAACCGACGTTGCCGCTTTTGCTTCATTACCATGTATTCGCCTGAATTGCTGAATGGAGACATTGCCGATGCCTCTGATGTTTTGTCTTCAGTACATTCATCCTCCATTTGAACGTCCCAGAAAGATCTTTTTCGTGTCTTGCTTGTTAAATTCGTCAGCACCTGAGGCGCAGTATTTTTGTCGTCTTGTTGGTCCTCGCACTTCGTTAAGCACCGAACAGCAGTAGGATGCAAACTTGTCGAACCAAAACTAAATCGATATGGGGTCAATTCCTTAGGCGGCGTCCTCGCCGTAGCCACGAGGCCATACATTAGGGCAATTCGTTCACCAACCGACAGGTCTTTCTCCTTCTTCTCGGTTGCCAAAGAAGTAACATGTTTCTTCGGTGTGACCGTGGAATAGGCAGCCAAAGCTGCATCAATCGCTGTCTCTTGTGCAGGTGACACAATTATATTCTGCTGCGGTGGTCGAAAGTTCAGGAGCAGCTCGCGCGCCGAGATCACAGGCTTCTGACATGCTTCCACAGCCGTTACGGTTAGGTCGTATGCCCGTACGCGCGCTGAAGGGCTCAGCAGCTCATCCTCCAGACTATCGTGACTGACAGAAGGCTTTAAGTGCGTCTCATGTTGCGCCGGGAAAGGGTCCTTAGTGCTCTCGTAGCTTTCATCCTCACTGCTTGACATTAATTCCATTTGAATTGCGTGATGACTCGAATGAGGGTCAAACGTTTTCGTGGTAGGTTACGCACCCCAACCCGCTGACTCACTCACTCACTTTCTGTCTGCAAAGTTACAGTAATGGAGAGAGAAAACTGCTTGGTCCTTATGCTGTTTACGAGAATGAAAATGAAGTAAAACGCATTCTGCGATCGTCATTTGGACTTGTTATTACAAATGTTCTAAGTCTCTCGATTAGTCCAATCGTCCGTACAAAGAAAAAACCACTTTCACGTGAAAATTGGGTCCGGCGACTGCGTGGGCAGCAGCCCGAAGCGCTTCTTCGTGGTAATGCGCTGCTTCGAGAACTTGTCGTCAGGCGAGAAACGCGCCGGGTGGGCCGAGCAGGTCGGGACGTCGGATGGTGTGACTTTCTGTGTAGTGCAATAGTTTCGGGATCAGTCGTTAGCAACCCTGCGCAATGTCTAAATCCTCCATCAGTAGTAGCAGACCTTGAGCGTATAAACGCGCTTGTTGTCTTCGCCGAGGTAGTACATGAGGTGCATGACTGATTGACCGACTGACTGACTGACTGGTTGATTAACTGGTTGATTGACTGACTGTCTGCTATGGGGATCAAGTTGCTACTGGCTGTGAGTTTCGTTGGTGGAAATGTATCGATTTTGAGCAATTGTGATTTTCACAGTTTGTCGGAATAACTGGCCCAGACTCAGCTACGATCTCCACCTGTGTCCAGTATGATACGAGTGGAAGTAAAAACCTCGCAGATCCAACTGTGAAAAACCTCGGGAAAATCGCATCACTTGGCTTCAGTATGCTTGATGGCTGGTGGAGGGCGTGGGTTTCGCTCCCGTTCGTTCACTCGAAAGGGCCCAATAGTTGGTAAAGTTCTCTTCGCGCGCTCTCAAGATGGTACGTGTGGTATTGGAGCCGCACACCCGTGCTCAGCGCTGCGTCTCGTCGCATGTAAAAGCCCCTGAAACCTCATCGCTCCCTGTGCTTCGTCTGGACTTTGAACGCGGAATGGGCGTTTTAGTCCCGACTCTAATGGCTCGGCCTCTTAGTAGCAGTTTTAGTACACTAGCTGATGTTGTAGCAATGAGACGAAACTGAGACCGCAAGATCAGACGAAGCAGCACAGGGGATATCGATTTGAGGGGGTTTTGCCATTGCGAGCAATTGTGCAGCCAATGGATACGGGCGAATGCGTACTGACCCGTAAATGTGGTTTGGATTTCTATTGTAGGCTCAGAACGTGCCGGAATTTAAGCTCATCCTCGTAGGTGATGGCGGAGTTGGTAAAACGACGTTCGTGAAGCGCCACTTGACGGGAGAGTTCGAGAAGAAGTACGTGGCGACGTTTGGTGTCGAGGTACATCCGTTGACGTTCCACACGAACTTTGGCCCGATCCGTTTTAACTGCTGGGATACGGCTGGTCAAGAAAAGTTTGGTGGCTTGCGTGATGGCTACTACATTCAGGGCCAGTGTGCTATCATTATGTTTGATGTGACGTCCCGCATTACCTACAAGAACGTCCCAAACTGGCACAGAGACCTGTTTCGCGTGTGCGAAAATATTCCCATTGTTTTGTGTGGCAACAAGGTCGAGGTCAAGGATCGTAAGGTGAAGGCTAAGCAGATTACGTTTCACCGCAAGAAAAACTTGCAGTATTTTGACATTTCGGCCAAGTCGAACTATCAGTTCGAGAAGCCTTTCTTGTGGCTAGCTCGCAAGCTTGTTGGGTACGTATCTGCTGATGGTTGTCCGTTGTATCCTCTTTACTGACAAATTGTGTTGCTGTAGTGACAATAACTTGACCTTTGTTGAGGCACCTGCTCTTCGTCCACCTGAGGTCACGATTACGCAGGAACAGATTGCTCAAATTGAAGCCGACGCTAGCTCTGCCGCCGCTGCGGTTCCCCTTCCGGATGAGGACGAAGACTTGTAGTCTGTGTGAGTGATCTGTTGCACCTCGACCTGGGTTATTCGCATGAAACACAAGGACGGTGGAGGGGGGAGGGCGAAACTGGGTCCATCACGCTGACCAAGGGTCCTAGGCATGCTGTGCCAGTACCAGATAGTGGTCTGATGTGGTGAAACATTGAGTGGTATGAACCAGTAGCATCTAGAAAACGAGAAGTCCAGTGAGGGAATAGTTGACAAAGGCGTGATGCTTCATTTGCTATTGCTTTTCAATCAAGCTTTATAGTCTACGTCCATACAATCGCCAGTGCCCTCTACATGTCATGCCAGCCATGTGTACGCTCACTGCAGAGAGCGGAAAGTACGTACGACATGACTGGGGAATGTGTTGCACCCAGTAAGCACCATCGTGGATAAAAGAAACAACTGACAATTAGCCGATCGTTGATGCAGGCATCTGCAATTATGGGTCATTCCTAGATGTTGACTTCTGACAGTGAGCAAAGACAACGCTCAAAAAGCTATGCAAGCAAACAAAAGGTTACGCTGACCATGGCCCCAGTGCACTGGAGATGCCACTCCTTGTACCAAACTCTTGCAACGGTGCTGCATGCATTGCGACTGTATCTGTGCCGTACTGGTAACTTGTAATAGTACAAAAGAGAGCAATGAGGTACGTGATTGATCAGATCAAAGAGGGATAAAAGCCTTTGTGGTACAGCAGCACCTGCCAAGTGTGCTACTGCATGGGCTGAGAACCTTCCGCTGCTAAACAATCTCCACTTCGACCGCGAAACAACGCTACTACGCTGCGCTGCGAACGTAGCTTGACCGATAATACTGAGGTCAGATCGTTCAAGCCTTCGATCCCAGACTATCAGCTTGATCCGGGCTCGACTCGACTGTGCCTGAGACGAAACATGAAACATCAACCAAATGACCGCAATCGAGTACGCAGCGCGCATGGTCTCGTTCGTAGCTGGGTGTGCTATTCTGACGATTCCGACATCATTCTAGGTGTTAGATCACGTCTCATTAGCCCAGTTGCATCATTCCGAATTCTAATACCTGGTAGACTTTGCACAGATGTAAAGCAAATCAAGGAGACAGCACCTTACGTATAGTGGATAGGCGGTGCATATGTTTCGCTACTCAGGAATATCAACAAAACGATTTACAGGTAGCAGATGAAGGCTTGGCCCGCTCGCCGTTTTGTTACGGCCACTTTTTGTTGTTGCTATCCTCACACTTACGGGGGTTTGACGGCGGTCATCCTTCCGCAACTTCATCTCTTTTGATGAAGGACCACAGTGTGTGAGAGTCAGTGACGAAAATCTCGACGCCCGCGATGAGGGATGTCAGAAAGTCCCTGCTCCAAACAAGCTACTTCTTACCAGCATTAAAAGTGTTAGAAACAAGGCCCCATTTTTTTAGCAGACTTTACCAACAGTTATTTAGTAACAGTCAAGTCAGTAGTCAAAGAATTTAACAATTGAGGTTGCGCTGCAACCACCCCCACTGTTTTTCGCCCATCCATTACCACCTAGCACAAGAACAAGGAGACTTGGCACCGACAGGAACCACGGACTTCCAACGACGCAATGGGTTTATGAAGGCCCACTGTTCCCGCGAAAGGCTTTACACATGCCTTCTCTGCAATACTACTAATTTATAACACATTCCTTGCGATTGCAGTTTCAAATACCCACTTTTGGACGCCTTCATCTTCTAGTGTGGGCGTCTTTGGAAGGGTCAAATGATTGGGACAAAGTAAAGGCCAAGCGCAACCACTGTTCACTTGGTTTGAAAGCAGGCAATTTGCATTAAGGTTCTCGTTGCACAGGTATTCCGCGTTATACTGCTGGTAATTTGCCGTCTCTCTACTAGAAGCATGACACAGCCGTGCATATATGCTATTGTTGTGGTGAAGTTTAAGGATGAGAACCTTGTCAGCAACCGGTCGAAAAAAAAGGTTCGGTGTGCGCATTGTGTATAAAGATTTCGTTTCTCCTATATAATGACAAGCGAACAATCCCGGCACGGTTTTATTTATCGCATTTTGATATTTTTAACCGACCCGGGGTCACTGTACATAAAGAGAATCTAGTATGTGGAGGTAATAAAAGAAGGCAAACGCTAAACGGCTGGATTCATTTTTATTCGACTGGGTAGTGCTTCTAGATCTAGAGTAAAAGAAATCGTCGTTTAAAACGCATGATGTTAAATGTCGTCGATTTGCCAGATTTTACAAAAATTAACTTTTGGTGACCGCTTCGCCAAAGTGGTCTCTCGTGATAGCTATCGCGTTTCAGCTACGATGTACAATTTTAGAATTTGCATTTTGTAGCGCTGGTCAGTCGCCTCCCACTAGTTCCAAATATGCTTGTAAGAGGCATGACAGGGCAGTTGAAACAGCAACGAACGACTTAGACCCCATTGGTTTATTAGCTACATTCAGCTTCGGCTATCGAAATCAGCTTGTTCGAACTTAGCGATAAAGAGAAAGATATCTTGGCTCGTATATTCACTAATCAAGTACGACCACCAACATCCGCGTTATAATTTACTGTGCAAATTGGCTGCTTGCATGCAGCTGCAGCAATTGAACGGTGTTAATATCTCGGTGATACCAATCGCAATTTTAAGTACGTAAGTGCGCACCGCTCACAATATTTCTAGGCAAGAAATACCGCCTCACCATAAGCGTTCCCGATCGCGCGGACGCATCATGTTTGGTGGAACTGTGTAGCAATGACGGCATTAAGAAGCGACGTGTTGTTCGGATTGAAATGCTCATGGCAGAAGGAACGGCTACAATAGGGAAGTAGCCTGTTTTGCACCCTTATCGTCATCATGAGCTTAAAATGGACATGTGAGTTTTTGTGTTTGTATATCAAGTGATTGGAATGAACGAGGTTAGGAGTGGTTCTGAGCTACTTCTGAGCTACTTTACATCACTCCTGAGGAATTAAAAATGACCCAGCCAAATTAAAATGAACCCAGCCATTTTGCATTTGTCTAAGAATACCTGTAACAAAACCAAATAAAATTAGCGAAACGAATATAACTGATGACAACGTTAACAGCTGGTGATAAGTGGTAGAAACGTTTTAAATCTGGAAAGCAGTGCTAAGAACTGTTAAAAACAACGGAGTTTTTATCGATCATCCCTACCCGCGATTGTACGAACGCGATCAGGTCCGCAGGGATAGTCGTGTGAGGATAGCCGTGTGGTGATCGATCCGCGCAATGATTCAGTGCCATCTGAAGTCAATTTGGGAAAGTCAGCAACCGTGGGCATCCGCTTTTTTTGCGACAATCAACAGAAAACCTGTTAAAGTTGCTATAATAGACACGACCAGCATATTCTGAAGCTGTGATGTACCTATGCCCAAATGCTCCTCATTTTGAGATCTGCTGGCAGCTTCCCCGACCGAAACAATGCGCATGTTCTGGCCCATCCTCACCGCTCCCGGCATCTGTTTCGTAAGATGCACTCAAGCGCTGATCGATAACGAACCGGCAAATGTTGCTACTATCAGCTCAAGCGCGATTCCACGACCTGACAAGAACTCATCCGATCTGGACAGTTCTGTGGAGTCGTACGGCTCAGCTGTGGACACATCCGCGTCCGGTGGTCAACGTATGGAGTCGATTGGTCCGATTGTAGACGAGATCGGCCATGGAGATAACGAGCAGGAGCAGCGGTTTGCTCCTATGGACCTCGTGTCATCTTTGCCCGCGTCAGTAATTCGAGCCAAGAACTTCGTGATGACGCGGCTTCATCAAGACCGCGTCAGGATTGACAACGAGCGCCTTAACGATGATTACGATCTTGTAGAAAAGGAAGCTATCGAAGACTGGATTGCGTCAGTCTTTGAAACAGATGAAACGGAAAAGTCATATGCACGTAATAAGATCATAAATGTGTTGACGAAGAACAAACCGCCAGAGGAGGTGGTCAAGACACTGGCAGCTATTCGATCAATGGACGAATATCCTCGCGATGTCGCCATGCTGTACAGAGCACTAGCCCACCACTATACTAAAACTCCTGATGTACTGCCCAAGGCGTGGGTGAAGTTGAAATTCAAACCTGAAGACATTTTCCGACTCCTCGACCTCAGACAAGATGAGGGTGATGTGCTTAAAACAGCAGCCGATGCCGCAATTCAGTGGATCAAATACACTGAGCTGTTCAAAAAAGAGAACAAGCACTATGCGATGACAGCTGAAGTCGAGGCGAAACTGTTGTTCGATGGCAGGAAAAAAGACCATGTGGACGCTCTAATCGAAAAGGTTATAAGAGCAGGAGGAGAGAAAGAATTCGCAAAAATGCTGCGTGAAGTTCAACGCGATGTGGCAAAGGAGACGAACATGCATCGCAAGACCACTGGACGTAGAGCGGAACGGCGATGAGCGAGGTGGCGTAGCTGGCTACAGAAGAAGATGCTGTTTGTGAAGTAATGAACGAGAAACAATTTTGATGTTTGTCGCGAATTTTGCAGGCTTAGATTAGCAGGAGTAGCACGTAAACTAAAAACCTTCGATACATCGATTCTTGTGTTATTCACTAAAGCTTCATTTTAGCGAGTTGTACAAAGCAAGTCATAAATGCGCTAGCGTGCGAAAAACCACATTCTTCTAGGCGTGGATCAGCAAACAAAACATAAGAATGGATCAATGCAACGATCACGAAGACCATCTAGCAGAGCAAAACGGTGACTGGATAATGCTTCAACGCTCATGTGGCATCCGGCATGCACTATCTCATCGAACATTGGAAGCTTTGCTGGAGGTGGCCCACAAAGTGTCATCGGCGTTCAGATGATGTTTACGACGACGCAAATTAATTATGTTATCGTGCAATTACAATAGAGTTGTGGCTCAAAAAACGAAACTATGACGTTCATTGATACATTCTGCATACCATAATTGTGGACATACTTTTACGCATAACCAAGATGACATTTAGAGTAAGATAGTGCGGTGGTGCGAAAGTGTTATGTTTACGCATAGACAGGATGAGAATGAGAGTACGATAGTAGGGTAGCAATGGCAACGGAGGTGCGAAGTGTTATGATCTAGCAAAGAACCGGAAGATCGTAGATGTTGGCAGAAAAGACTGCGATATACTAACTACGATATAGTATCATTAAACGCAGGTATGCATTCCTACGATGAAGCTTTTACGCTTGGGTTTCGCGAAAATATGCTACCGCATTAGGTTTTGAGGGTGGATCCAAAATATTGAAAATACTGAACGTACCACTTTTTCTATCAAGATAGATGAGCAAGCTCTGAAGCTCGCCTTTTGGCATAACATTTCAGTTCATAAAGCTGGATCCAAATTGCAAAATGCGATACAGCACCAGTCACTGGAGAAGGAGTATGATGATGTTAAGGTCTTTATTAACCCAGAAATATGTTAATGTAACGCAACAGCCTTTGCTTTTTAGCGTCCGGTGTTTACTTACGTGATCATATTCACCTTTGATCAACTTTGGGCCAACTAGGTGCGTGCATCACAACATTGCTTTAGCCAAAGAGTGATGCCGAGCATGCTAATCGACTCATGAGTGATACAGGCTAGATAGTATTTAGTACGTGTAAGGTACATCTTGCCGCGTTATCTGCAGACAGACACAGACACACACTGACACATACACAAAAGTACAATTTAAAAGCTCGGTGTAACGGGGCACCCTGAAGCTTGTACTGGTAACAGTACAAGCTTCTTATTCTGATGACAGAATAAGGCGGTGCCTCGGAACTTCACGTACACTCGTACGTGCAGAGGAAGACGGTAAGAAGAAGCGAGTACTTGGTTAAAGTAAAAAGTAGAACTGTATTTATAATAGTTAATGTCTGTTAATAAATCACAATTTATCTTCATCTAACTATGTCTGAATACAAATGTGTAAATCAAGTATCTGCTCACCACTCATTGCGTGCGTCTGTCGTGGCGCGTCTTCGTTGGTTGATATAATGGCCTATATCAACCAATTAGGAACTATTCGTAAGTGCTACAGAATATTTGTCCTTATGACAGTATTCTGCGAATATAACTCTTATAGTTATTATCTATTAACAATTTCTTATAAATTGTTATGTAACGATTCATCCCGATACATCACCCCCCCCTTAACCATCAGTCACTTTAGTGACTGATTGACTAAATGGATACTCGTCCCAAATCATTTGGGACGGGGTTTGCATTTGTTGGTCCGAGTCCACTTTCCAACATCTCATCGCATAGTTAACAAGCCCATGCGATGCGCGAGCAAGGCCGCCGAGAGCGCGTCCGCACGTCTCTGTGCGGACGCCGAAGCAGAAACAACAGCAACTGATGTCTCATCGGTTGCTGAAGCGACTCAGCCTGTGTCACTTGGTGATGCAGGCGCTGATCATGAAGACACTCATGTCTTCACAGAGTATGAGCTCGGTGTCTCATACTCTCCTGATACGGAAGACGGATCCGTATCGACGGCGATCGAATCCAAGCCGCCTGCCAAGCGTGGCATGGATGACGCTATGCGTCGTAGCATCTTTTGTTCATCTGACGAATCAGATGAACCATCGCCGAAGCGAAGGCGCTCGAGGTCGCGAGACTCGGGCGCTAACAGTGGTGTCGGTTCTCCTATGGACACCACTTCGCAACGAGGTGCCAGTACTTCTGTCGGCACATCGCAGAAAGAGCGGGGCCGCAATGTCTTGCGTCTCGCTCCTGAGAAGAAGGCATGGATGCCTCCTAAATCTGTCATGGATCACTTGTCGTCGACGACGAGTGATCGTTATCGGGCACGGTTGTTCGATTCATCAGAGATCCATCACCTTGACCCCAGCGCGAAAAACTATCGCGCTGGGAATGAATTCTTCATCGATGCTTTCTTTAGACATCGATGGTACAGTGGGAATCACAAGCGTGATGGTCCCTCACTACTTCAAGCGTGGAACGCCTACATCCATAACCTTGAGAATGTAGGTCGTGACGCTTGGAATGACAAACTTATCAAAGCTCGTGATAAGTTTGAAAAGCGAACCCCGACAGGTGCACGCTACAAGCTGCATCGTCTGTCAAGGGAGAAGGGATTACCCTGCCTCTCTTGGGGAGACTCGTGCCCATGTTGTGTGAACAACTCTGCACGAGCACCTAAGAAGGCTTACCTCCCTAATAGCCCGTGGTGGCGCGTACGTATCTCTATTGAGATGTACGAAGGGATTGACAACCTGAAATCTCTTTACGACCGTGCCGGGAAGACTTTCTCCGGCGGTCCTTCTGCGGCACAGGATGTGCCGCGTCGTACTGCTCAACCAAACCCAGTACGTCAGCCATCAGTTGGGAGCGGGGCTCCCAAGTATCCCAGGACGGGGGGTAGCCGCGCCACCGGACGAGATAACTCGTCCGACGTCCGTTCACGTCGCGGTGGTTCAACAGCTGCTCAACTAGATAGCGCTGGCCACCGCGAGAGTCCTCTAATGGAGGTGGAGGAGGAGGAAAGACGCTCTCCACACGATCATGTGGATCGGTGTGTTCCCGAGAGCTTCTTTGATCGCGTAACGCAAGGGTTACGCAACGATCTCGAACATGAGCGGGACAGGCGTCTCCAAATGGCGGGCACTGTCTCGAAGCATCGAGCTGAGTTTGCCTTTGCTCAGCTTGAGAACGAGAGAGCTCTGACATCTCTTCGTGACGAGCTAAGGGTAGCTCGTGGGATTGTTGATCGGTCTCGGGATGAGATAACTGCTCTTCAGACCCTTGTTGATGCCCACCATCAGGAGCACAAGGCTCTATGCGAGATGCTTGAGCGCAAGGGCGTTCTTCATCGGAAGAAGAAGCGTACTGATGGTACGGCTTAAGCCGACCAACGTAAAACGTGGGATGCGTTCGCATCTTACGTGGCAACTCGATCGTGTATGCATTGCCTAGGCGGTGCAATACACGAAATGGGCCGATGTACTTGGGTAGTAGTTTACTGCTACCCAAGTTAGTCACTACATGCTTTGGTAGATTAACCGTAGACAGTAGGACTAAGTCACCTTTATTAAATAAAAGAGTGTTTGCCCTTCCATTCTTGTCAGCGTTTTGCTTTTGCTTATCCACCGCTTCGGCGATGGAGTCTTGCACAAAACGGACTACCGTTTCACGAGCCAGTATGAACTCATCTGATGACTCGTTAGCTTCAGTGCGCTGTGAGTGCACTGAAGCGATATCCATCTTTTCTTCTGTGAGGGCTTACTCGCTCTCACTGGCATCATCTTCTTCGATATCGATGTTATCGATATCGGCATCAAACGCAATGACCTCTTCGTCAGAGCGTGATGAGCGTGAACCAAATCGGTTTTTGCTCGTGCGAGTCTCCCCCCCTTAAACCAGAGCTACACTCTAGTAAGGTGGGTACACGCGGATGGCGCAAGCCATTCACGTAAAACGGTGTATGTGTCGTGGACGCATGCACCGAGTTGTTAATGGCAAACTCTACCATTGGCAAGAACTCACTCCAACTCTTGAAGGAGTGTACGTATCCTCGAAGTATCTCTTCAAGGACACGATTGGCACGTTCCGTCTGACCATCTGACTCTGGATGATCAGATGTAGACATCTTCAAGCGCGTTCCGAGTGTTTTGAACACGGAACGCCAGGAATCAGCAGTGAATCGTGGATCTCTGTCTGATACGAGTTCACGGTGCAACCCATGAAGTCGGAAGATGGTGTCAATAAAGACACAAGCACAGCCACTTGCCGTGATTGACTCTGGTACAGCCACAAGGTGTACCATTTTGCTGAATCTGTCAACAAATACGAGAATACCCGTATTCCCGCGTGCGTCTTTGGGTAACCCGAAGACGAAATCCATTGAGATGGATTCCCAGCACTCAGCCGGAATCGGTAGAGGCTGTAAAGGTGCACGCAGTGAAGGACTTGACTTCACTCGTTGACAGACTTCGCATGCGCGAACATACTTGCGCACAAACTGATACTGGCGGGGCCAGTAAAAGTCTCGATTCACCGTGAGATATGTTTTCTCCCGGCCACGATGTCCTCCTATAGGAGCATCGTGATACTCGAACATGATCCGCAAACGCAGATCAGTATCATCTGTAATGACAACACGTGGTGTGTCACCAGAAACGGCTGTATAATACAGTAACCCGTTGCGAGTAGTGTATCGATCTGATGCAGATCGATACGCAGACGGCAATCGTTTCAACGATTATCGAGATGGCTGTGAGAGATGTGTCAACAACTTCATAATCTCACCATCTTGGGCGTATGCCCGCCTCACATCGTCATGCAACGTTGTAGATGGGACTGAGGACGTCATAACCGCAACAGTGACTGTCTCACTGTTGGGTTTCACGACTGGTTCAAAGTCGGGACGACGTGAGAGTGCATCAGGGACGACATTAAGTCGTCCTGGTTTGTACTCGACCGTAAAGTTGTATTCTGCAAAGAATGACAACCACCGCGACATTCTTTGTGAAAGGTGCGGGCTATTCACTGCCGTGAGTAATGACGCATGGTCAGTGTAAACAATGAAGGGTATATCTCCTAATAGATAGACTCTGAACTTCGCGAGTGCATTCTTCGTGGCAAGGAGTTCCTTGTCATGCACTGGATAGTTTCGCTCAGCTGGTTGCAGCTGACGCGACTGATAGCAGACGACGCGTTCAACGCCTTTAAGATCGTACTGCATTAATGCACAGCCGATTGCGAAATCGCTGGTATCACAGACCACATGAAATGGTCTGTCCTGATCGGCAATTGCTAGGACTGGGGATTGTATCAAGCTCTGCTTGATACCATCAAAGGAGCGCTGACATTCAGCGTTCCATAACCACCTCTCGTTCCTTTTCAACAAACGAGAGAGGTGCACAGTCATCTCGGCGTAATTGCGTGAATACTTGTGCAAATACGCCGCTAGCCCAAGGAATTTTCGAAGACCTTTGACATCAACCGGCACAGGCCAGTCGGTGATCGCCTTGATCTTTTCGGGATCAGGACGTACACCGTTCTTGCCAACGATGCACCCAAGAAGTGGTATTTCGCTTGCTGCAAATATACACTTCTTGAGGTTGGCATACAATTGATGCTTTCGCATGATTGTAAGAACCTGTCGGACGTGGTATCTGTGAACCTCAACGTCCGACTTTCCATCCATAGCCCGACTATGGATGAATACGTCATCGAAATAACTCGGTGCGAATTTTTGTACTGGTCTCAACAGATGTGATACACATCTGTTGAAAGTGGCAGGGGCATTACTAAGCTCTTGTGGCATTACTAGCCATTCCCAAAACATGCCGCTAGGCGTGCTAACTGCGGTATAGGGTACATCCCGTTCTCGCATAAGGATTTAATAGAAGCCATCCATCAAATCCATGGACGAAAAGATGGTACTCTTTGACATACCATCAATTATTACGTCCTTCCTTGGTATCGGCGTCTGAGCCGGTACCGTTGCAGCATTCAACTTGTTAAATGCATGCACTATCCTCCACCCTCCTGTTGCTTTTCGCACACAGTGTGGGGAAGTTGATTCCCTCACATGGCCCGCAGCTAAACGATCGGCAAAGAACTTGTCGATCGCAAGTACTTTGTTCACGAGGCAGTGGCCACTGCTTCATGACACTGTACTCCGAGCCTAGTTTAAGCTCGACCTCGTGTCGAATACCTTTATCCTTCGGTAATTCGCACGGAACAGTTTCAGGGAATACATCCTTGATTTCAACCAAATCTTCATAGAGAGGATTTGTCTTGAGCGATTCCCACGATTGGGAGTCATATCGCTCAATTCGTGTCTTTTCATCTAGGACACTCTCGTCCATAGATGAACTACTGAGAACTCTCTCGTTCTCAGTTAACACTGTTGCTGACCTTATGTCGGCTACACACTCGTCGTCAGCGACGAGTACGCAGATCTGCTTGACTTTGCCACTACGCAGATCACGCAAGAACCTTTTATGTTCGAGCGTTGGCAACTGAGTGATCTCCGAAGTCAACTTCGGAGGCGCAATCAGATCAAGTGTATAAGCGCCTACACTTGATCCGTTATTGACTATGACATTCAATGTCTCTGTCATTTCCTGGGGACTTATTCCCTCAGGCCTCGAAGGACTTATTCCATCGGCTTCCCGGGGACTTATTCCCGCGGGTTTCGGGGAACTTATTTCCACCGTATTTGTAATATTGGGACTTATTCCCTTTACTTCCTCTAGCTGTGGTTGCGCAACCACAGCGAGATCCTCTACGAAAGACTCTCCAGTCGATCTAGGATTATCTTTTCGCTTAACCTGAGCGATTGATTGTTTCTCTTCTAGATGTTCCCCGCCAGGGATACATCTTTGTCCCGGTCCACTCGACTTATTCGAGTGGTGGACCTTCGGCGCAGCCTGTGTTTCCTCACAGTCGCCGGAACTTTGCTCCGAAGTGTAACCGTTTGGTACACTAAGGTTTTGTGCAGTCGTACTAACGACCGTACCACAAGTGAGGCCATCGCACTCACTCGTAGTACATCCACACGCTTGTGGACGCTCCAAAACGTTCATCAGATGGCCATATGATGAACAAGCGGTAGGCATCGTTACTGTTTGGTGTTGCCAGTTTACCCGTGGTTCGTACCTTCTGAGCCACGGTATTCCAAGGATGACATCAAATTTGTCATCCAAATCCAATACGATAAAGTCATCATCATATTGGGTATCTTCTAGCGTATAGTGGATCTTCACTATACGCTTCATGACGGTTACGGATGCGCCTGTCGGAAGACGTACCGTCATCCTCGTAGAAGGTGTGTCACATTCACTGAACTTAAAGTGACCATATTCTAGCGGTTGGCGTCGCACAAAATTGTTGGACGCCCCACAATCGACTAGAGCTCGAAGGGACAACTTATTTGTCACTTCGAGTTTCAAGGTAATGAGTGAGATCTCATTACCTAGAGCAGCAACGCACAACGTTTGTGTGTTGGGAGCAACCTTCATCAAAGAGGCCCACAAATTCTCTTGACGTTGCTGGACCAGTAGGGTGCTCCGCACCTACTGATCCTGTCCGTTTTTTGACGGTCCATCCCGTTGTTGCGTCTTTGCACCAACAGCGGACCCGCGTCCCTGCCCCTTTCTCATGGGTGGACGGTCACTACGCCCAGTGTTGCGAGACACTGGACGAGGGGCACTACACTCGTAAGCGTAGTGTCCTGTCTTCTGACATCTGTTGCATCTCTGCAACTTCTTGTAGTCTGTAGAGCGAGGCCTTCTCGATCTCTACATAACAGAGTTCCATCGGCTCTGGACCTCCGTTATCATGTCGTCTCGGTTGACGATACGATGTCGAGCTGGCACGAGCCTGTCTCAGACTGAAGTCTTCCTGTTCCGCAATGGATATGGCTTGTTCTAGTGAATCTAGTTCAAGCCGGAACAGGTGAGTCTTGACGGGACCATCCGCAAGACCCTGCATGAACACCGAAACCAACGTGTGTTCATCCACCGGATTGGAACTTATACAACTCGTGAGATGTCGTATATGTTGCGCGTAAGCGTGCACGTCACGCTTACTCTGCTTGAGCTTCAAGAGTTCGTTTCGAGCTCTGAACTCAGCTCTACGCGGTTCAAACGTTTGTCTGAGCCGCGACTTGAAGACTTTTACCGACCCAAACGCATATGGGTCGTGCAACTTGAGCCCCAGTGCCCAAGTCTTGGCACGTCCTGCCAGATTTGATTGGGCAAATGCAACTTGCATATACCCGTCGTCGATGCGACGCGCCCTCATGGCGTCATCCAATTCGACGAACCATCTCAAGAGGGAGTCCTCTTCGACTCCCCTATACTTGAAGATGTCAATCTTCAAGGTTTCGGGTCGACGCGAGTGCATCGACCCACCAGCAGCAGCCTGCTGCTGTCTCAACAGTTCAAACTGTTGAGCACCCTGTTCTCTCAACAACTCTGCTTGTTGAGAACCTTGTTGTTGAAGCAAGGCTACTTTCTCGTGTTCTGCGTCAAGTTCATTTTGAATAAACTTGGCGATAGTAGCATGTTGGGCATCTCTATTGAGAGCCTCTAGCATGACGCTAACAGCGTGTATGCCCATGGTTGAACCCATCCGTTCAACCGCATCCCATTCGACATCGCTCAAATGGGAGTAGCCGTCACGCGTAGCGTGAAAGCTTTGGTCATCTTCATCATCCAACATATTCATGTTGGATGTGAACGTGGTCCTTGGATGGACTACGAAGTGCTACCAGGTGTAACGGGGCACCCTGAAGCTTGTACTGGTAACAGTACAAGCTACTTATTCTGATGACAGAATAAGGCGGTGCCTCGGAACTTCACGTACACTCGTACGTGCAGAAGAAGACGGTAAGAAGAAGCGAGTACTTGGTTAAAGTAAAAAGTAGAACTGTATTCATAATAGTGAATGTCTGCAATAAATCACAATTTATCTTCATCTAACTGTGTCTGAATACAAATGTGTAAATCAAATATCTGCTCACCACTCATTGCGTGCGTCTGTCGTGGCGCGTCTTCGTTGGTTGATATAATGGCCTATATCAACCAATTAGGAACTACTCGTAAGTGCTACAGAATATTTGTCCTTATGACAATATTCTGCGAATATAACTCTTATAGTTATTATCTATTAGCAATTTCTTATAAATTGTTATGTAACGACTCACCCCGTCACAGATGCGCTCCACGTGCAAATTAAATCTTCTAAATACGCGGCATTAAACACTATTGCCACCTTTATACTCGATCACCTTATCCATCACTTTTTGTAGCGTCAAGAACGTCTGATCGATTGTGTCCGCTGAGATTCTTTAGAAAGCTCTGTTGAAATCGTCTATGAGTGCTTTGGTCATGTGAATTTCTGTCTGGTAACCCACCAACTGAAGAAAGCTAGACACTCCAAGATTCAAAACGTTCATTTCTGGGGATCTCGGCGGATGGCACCGCATCACGATGTTCCGGATCTCTTATCTCCCTGCATCCAGGATCATATAATTGTTCTGAAAGACTTTTAAACCCGCTTTGTTTTGTTGAAACTTAGATGCTGACATATGGCCAACTAGACATTTTTAAAACAAACGTAAACTACGATAAATTGAAAAAATGACTGAATTGACAATTACCTGGCCAAAGCTATCTGGCGGCTGGGAACACTTTATTTTCGAGAATGCGGACGTAGACTTCATGCGTCACAGTGACGTTCTGTATGACCAAAGTTAAAGCGAGGCAATTGGAAGAAGAATGCTTTGCTGGCGCGGTCTTTACGATAGGCCATGTGCCGATATTCCAGTCGAACTTGGCCTTCCTGTGTAGGTTATACTGTGCCCGCGCGAGGACGGTTAGAAAACATCACTTCGGTGCTATAACGCTTTTCAGGATAGAGCTATTTGGTAAAACACATTGCCAGTAAGTTAATGACGCTCCGAGGTCTTGTAAACATTAACTTCTTCCGGATGACATCATACACCGGTTTGTAAAACAAGGCAATTGGTCTTTTTGATGTGACCAGTCTGTGTTAGTGACTTCTAAACCGTTCAATTCAGTACAAAAGTTATCAGTGGTAGATTAAATAATCGATCTATGCACTTGGCTAAGGAAAACGCGTGTCGATTTTGCTTGTGCATTGTCGTCAACGTTTGCTTTGCGCAACACACGAAGCGGCTTAGGATGCCCGACTTCACGTAGCAGTGGAAAAATTGATTTCTGGACTCCAGTCTCGCTCACCAGTACACGCAACGTCTACTTCTCGCAGAGAGAAAAGGTCTGTACCGTAGACGCCGCCTCGCTCGGCTACCACTTTGCTGGAAAAGTGACTGGTATATCTGGGCGATGAGGGCTTAAGGATGATGGTGCATGCACTATATCTTCCAGATGGACGAATGAAGAAGCGTTGATTCCGCCATAGTTAATGTCACAGTCCTTTTGGTGAGAACCCCTCCACTTTTCTTACTTTTCTAAAAGCTTTACCACAACGCGCTTCGCAGCGTGCACGTTCGATGCGGCCGTATGTCGAGGAATTTCGGAAGCTGCATGTTCAAAAATGAGCGATCAATGCCAATACCTTAAAATAGCATGTCTGGGTTGATGAATTGCCAAAAAAACAGACCATAACAGAGTTGAAATTTTTAGATAGTCGTAGTAGTACATGTGGACCACAGAATGTTTTGGTTCCTGAACCATGGGACAGAGTAGTATTGTATTAAGGGAATTGTTATTTCTACCACACTTTTTACTCTTCAACCACATCTCATTTTGTTTTGATAACTATAGGCGCACCAAGCCACGCCACATTGACACACCGCCACATCTATCCCACCCACGCTATCACCACGACCTACTATCATCGCACTTTCATTTATCCAAAAATTCGTCAGTGATGGTTTTAGAATTATAGTCAATATATTTTTAGTATTTTTCGTAGACGTGCGTGACGTGACTTTTGATCTCCTGAGAAACAACGGACAAGTCGCTGCTTTCGGTGCCTTAAATTCCTACTTTCAAGTTTTTTTGGATTGCAGTACGTCTTACGAAGCAGAATTATTTATTTAGACCACTTGAACTTGATGCCTTGCACAACTTCCGGTACAGAATAGCAAGATTTGATCGTGTTGTCGCTCGGTTAGCAGATAATAGATAACCACATTCTTTTAAAAAGGTTAAGCTCCTGCAGACACTGGACCGTTAGACACGCATCCGGTGAGATAATAAGCACCGATTTACATGTTGTCACGTCTTTAGCAATGTATACACCCTGGTTTTTGCCACGCACGCGTCTTCCTGGCACTCGGACAAAAAGTCAGTAACGATCTATAATTTGATATACGGATCCTTCACTCGTTGTAGCCAACAAACACGTCAACAAAGGTGCCTTCTACAGAAGTACACCCCTCTACGACTCACAGACTAGTCTCACTCTTCATCATTATACTCTTTGTCGTGCGCTATCTGTGTGGCGGGTGCTGAAGGGTACGTAATTGTGAGCTTAGCTTGTTGTCCAGATTTACATCGAATGAGTAAGCGATGGAAGGCGTTCTCTTGAGCAAAGTTCATCTAATATGATGTGGAAGTGGCGTGAAATCTAGACTACAACTCGAGTTCGGCTGATAAAGCGCACAAGCCAGCCAGGGAGAGGTAAGTATGCGTGGGAAAGTCAACGAATTGGCTGTCTCTCAAAAAAATTCACCCTTTCGGTTGAAGTTAGAGCCGCGAAAGTCTATTAATTCCCGAATACAAGATTTTATAATAGTTGTTTTTAGTGAGGTGCGCCTATCGTTATTCAAACAGAAGTAATGGTGTTGTGGAAATTGTTTAGTAAAGCGAAGTTACACGTCGGTTATTGAACCGGTTATGTCGTGTGTCCACAATAAGTAAAAATCGGTGGATCTGAGTGATGAAGTATTGGTATCATGTACTTACGGTAATACCGCACCTTACCGGATAAAGAAAAGGGATAAGACTTCTGTCACAGGATCGCAATGCAGGAGTCAGTCAGGCAAAGGTTTTGGATTTTATTGCCCTATCTAAAGAGCAAATTAGTTCAGTCCCCTTTTAAATCATTAAAAACAAGTGCCTAGTTAAGACGTAGTGTTTTTAAAAGCATTAGCCTTGTAAAGGCGCTTACTCTTGTTCAACTAGTAGTGACTCGTTACTGTGTGATTCTGTAAATCGTTGTTCCTTTGAAACCGTATTGTTGAGCTTGTACGCTTAAACAACTGTACGTCGATGTTAGTTCGTCATGACTAAAAGAATCTTTAAGTCCAAGACTTCCTTTGTTGAGGAGCGCTAAGTAGCCCCGCTACACGGCGGTAATGGCGCTCGTTGTTGCATCCGAGCTTGATGTTTTGGCCGGCATTGCCTCATGGTGGCATATTCTTGATGCTGTCGATGCGTTGAACTTTTAAATGTGAAGACATTTGTACAGGAGCTAGAGCCGGCGGAGGCGTGCGCAGGAGTAGGTTCATCGCCTATCGTGACGATCTTAAACTCATCCCATACGCCGACAGGAAAAAGACAGTCTCTTTTAGTGCCCTTCATGCCTTCGTCCTCTTCTCAAGTAAGCTAGGAAATCTCAAGGCAAGCCATGCGATCTTGCATGACTCCTAATGCCTCGAGTATCTTGGGGCTCACGTTGCTGGAGTCATCTTCCACCTCATGCTTGACTGCCTCTGCATATCGGTAGGCGTTGATATCTCGACCTTGTAGCGGTCGCTTGAAGTCACAGGCGCTCCTTTTCGCGCGCGGGGACAACGCCTTTGGGCTCATTAACTGTTTTAATATAGTCTATGTCTTCGAGTGTGAATGTAAAACTGATACTGAATTATATGTAATGCACTTCCTGCTCGCTAATATCCTCAAACGTCGCTCTGTACCCACATCGCGGTCGCCGATGACGCACATACCGTGAAAAGTGACCCGTGGTCTGGAACCTCCAATGATGCGTAGACCACTTCCCATCACCCATCACCTTTCAACATATCACTGTCGCAAATTGATGACACAGCGAGGTCAGCACATAACCAGCAGGCCGTATTCCTACGGTAAGTCGAGTGGGTCGTACGCATGGGTATTCCATGCGTACAACCCGCTCGACTTACCGGTACCACAATGTTGTGTCTCATTCGCCGAGCCTCTCTAGCTGTTGACAAGACTGGCAATTCCTCCGGTGCGCGTGCTGATTAAATATAAAAATATAAGGATTAAAAAGGTTACAAGAAACAGGGATTGCTCAATCAATGAGTGATGGCTGCGAGCCCAAAGTGAAACTATTGGTGGCTGTGCGCAAAAATAAATTGCCGAGTGTAACGGGGTGAATCGTTACATAACAATTTATAAGAAATTGTTAATAGATAATAACTATAAGAGTTATATTCGCAGAATATTGTCATAAGGACAAACATTCTGTAGCACTTACGAGTAGTTCCTAATTGGTTGATATAGGCCATTATATCAACCAACGAAGACGCGCCACGACAGACGCACGCAATGAGTGGTGAGCAGATACTTGATTTACACATTTGTATTCAGACACAGTTAGATGAAGATAAATTGTGATTTATTGCAGACATTCACTATTATGAATACAGTTCTACTTTTTACTTTAACCAAGTACTCGCTTCTTCTTACCGTCTTCTTCTGCACGTACGAGTGTACGTGAAGTTCCGAGGCACAGCCTTATTCTGTCATCAGAATAAGTAGCTTGTACTGTTACCAGTACAAGCTTCAGGGTGCCCCGTTACACCTGGTAGCACTTCGTAGTCCATCCAAGGACTACGTTCACATCCAACATGAATATGTTGGATGATGAAGATGACCAAAGCTTTCACGCTACGCGTGACGGCTACTCCCATTTGAGCGATGTCGAATGGGATGCGGTTGAACGGATGGGTTCAACCATGGGCATCCATGCTGTTAGCGTCATGCTAGAGGCTCTCAATAGAGATGCCCAACATGCTACTATCGCCAAGTTTATTCAAAATGAACTTGACGCAGAACACGAGAAAGTAGCCTTGCTTCAACAACAAGGTTCTCAACAAGCAGAGTTGTTGAGAGAACAGGGTGCTCAACAGTTTGAACTGTTGAGACAGCAGCAGGCTGCTGCTGGTGGGTCGATGCACTCGCGTCGACCCGAAACCTTGAAGATTGACATCTCCAAGTATAGGGGAGTCGAAGAGGACTCCCTCTTGAGATGGTTCGTCGAATTGGATGACGCCATAAGGGCGCGTCGCATCGACGACGGGGATATGCAAGTTGCATTTGCCCAGTCAAATCTGGCAGGACGTGCCAAGACTTGGGCACTGGGGCTCAAGTTGCACGACCCATATGCGTTTGGGTCGGTAAAAGTCTTCAAGTCGCGGCTCAGACAAACGTTTGAACCGCGTAGAGCTGAGTTCAGAGCTCGAAACGAACTCTTGAAGCTCAAGCAGAGTAAGCGTGACGTGCACGCTTACGCGCAACATATACGACATCTCACGAGTTGTATAAGTTCCAATCCGGTGGATGAACACACGTTGGTTTCGGTGTTCATGCAGGGTCTTGCGGATGGTCCCGTCAAGACTCACCTGTTCCGGCTTGAACTAGATTCACTAGAACAAGCCATATCCATTGCGGAACAGGAAGACTTCAGTCTGAGACAGGCTCGTGCCAGCTCGACATCGTATCGTCAACCGAGACGACATGATAACGGAGGTCCAGAGCCGATGGAACTCTGTTATGTAGAGATCGAGAAGGCTCGCTCTACAGACTACAAGAAGTTGCAGAGATGCAACAGATGTCAGAAGACAGGACACTACGCTTACGAGTGTAGTGCCCCTCGTCCAGTGTCTCGCAACACTGGGCGTAGTGACCGTCCACCCATGAGAAAGGGGCAGGGACGCGGGTCCGCTGTTGGTGCAGAGACGCAACAACGGGATGGACCGTCAAAAAACGGACAGGATCAGTAGGTGCGGAGCACCCTACTGGTCCAGCAACGTCAAGAGAATTTGTAGGCCTCTTGATGAAGGTTGCTCCCAACACACAAACGTTGTGCGTTGCTGCTCTAGGTAATGAGATCTCACTCATTACCTTGAAACTCGAAGTGACAAATAAGTTGTCCCTTCGAGCTCTAGTCGATTGTGGGGCGTCCAACAATTTTGTGCGACGCCAACCGCTAGAATATGGTCACTTTAAGTTCAGTGAATGTGACACACCTTCTACGAGGATGACGGTACGTCTTGCGACAGGCGCATCCGTAACCGTCATGAAGCGTATAGTGAAGATCCACTATACGCTAGAAGATACCCAATATGATGATGACTTTATCGTATTGGATTTGGATGACAAATTTGATGTCATCCTTGGAATACCGTGGCTCAGAAGGTACGAACCACGGGTAAACTGGCAACATCAAACAGTAACGATGCCTACCGCTTGTTCATCAGATGGCCATCTGATGAACGTTTTGGAGCGTCCACAAGCGTGTGGATGTACTACGAGTGAGTGCGATGGCCTCACTTGTGGTACGGTCGTTAGTACGACTGCACAAAACCTTAGTGTACCAAACGGTTACACTTCGGAGCAAAGTTCCGGCGACTGTGAGGAAACACAGGCTGCGCCGAAGGTCCACCACTCGAATAAGTCGAGTGGACCGGGACAAAGATGTATCCCTGGCGGGGAACATCTAGAAGAGAAACAATCGATCGCTCAGGTTAAGCGAAAAGATAATCCTAGATCGACTGGAGAGTCTTTCGTAGAGGATCTCGCTGTGGTTGCGCAACCACAGCTAGAGGAAGTAAAGGGAATAAGTCCCAATATTACAAATACGGTGGAAATAAGTTCCCCGAAACCCGCGGGAATAAGTCCCCGGGAAGCCGATGGAATAAGTCCTTCGAGGCCTGAGGGAATAAGTCCCCAGGAAATGACAGAGACATTGAATGTCATAGTCAATAACGGATCAAGTGTAGGCGCTTATACACTTGATCTGATTGCGCCTCCGAAGTTGACTTCGGAGATCACTCAGTTGCCAACGCTCGAACATAAAAGGTTCTTGCGTGATCTGCGTAGTGGCAAAGTCAAGCAGATCTGCGTACTCGTCGCTGACGACGAGTGTGTAGCCGACATAAGGTCAGCAACAGTGTTAACTGAGAACGAGAGAGTTCTCAGTAGTTCATCTATGGACGAGAGTGTCCTAGATGAAAAGACACGAATTGAGCGATATGACTCCCAATCGTGGGAATCGCTCAAGACAAATCCTCTCTATGAAGATTTGGTTGAAATCAAGGATGTATTCCCTGAAACTGTTCCGTGCGAATTACCGAAGGATAAAGGTATTCGACACGAGGTCGAGCTTAAACTAGGCTCGGAGTACAGTGTCATGAAGCAGTGGCCACTGCCTCGTGAACAAGTACTTGCGATCAACAAGTTCTTTGCCGATCGTTTAGCTGCGGGCCATGTGAGGGAATCAACTTCCCCACACTGTGTGCGAAAAGCAACAGGAGGGTGGAGGATAGTGCATGCATTTAACAAGTTGAATGCTGCAACGGTACCGGCTCAGACGCCGATACCAAGGAAGGACGTAATAATTGATGGTATGTCAAAGAGTACCATCTTTTCGTCCATGGATTTGATGGATGGCTTCTATTAAATCCTTATGCGAGAACGGGATGTACCCTATACCGCAGTTAGCACGCCTAGCGGCATGTTTTGGGAATGGCTAGTAATGCCACAAGAGCTTAGTAATGCTCCTGCCACTTTCAACAGATGTGTATCACATCTGTTGAGACCAGTACAAGAATTCGCACCGAGTTATTTCGATGACGTATTCATCCATAGTCGGGCTATGGATGGAAAGTCGGACGTTGAGGTTCACAGATACCACGTCCGACAGGTTCTTACAATCATGCGAAAGCATCAATTGTATGCCAACCTCAAGAAGTGTATATTTGCAGCAAGCGAAATACCACTTCTTGGGTGCATCGTTGGCAAGAACGGTGTACGTCCTGATCCCGAAAAGATCAAGGCGATCACCGACTGGCCTGTGCCGGTTGATGTCAAAGGTCTTCGAAAATTCCTTGGGCTAGCGGTGTATTTGCACAAGTATTCACGCAATTACGCCGAGATGACTGTGCACCTCTCTCGTTTGTTGAAAAAGAACGAGAGGTGGTTATGGAACGCTGAATGTCAGCGCTCCTTTGATGGTATCAAGCAGAGCTTGATACAATCCCCAGTCCTAGCAATTGCCGATCAGGACAGGCCATTTCATGTGGTCTGTGATGCCAGCGATTTCGCAATCGGCTGTGCATTGATGCAGTACGATCTTAAAGGCGTTGAACGCGTCGTCTGCTATCAGTCGCGTCAGCTGCAACCAGCTGAGCGGAACTATCCAGTGCATGACAAGGAACTCCTTGCCACGAAGAATGCACTCGCGAAGTTCAGAGTCTATCTATTAGGAGATATACCCTTCATTGTTTACACTGACCATGCGTCATTACTCACGGCAGTGAATAGCCCGCACCTTTCACAAAGAATGTCGCGGTGGTTGTCATTCTTTGCAGAATACAACTTTACGGTCGAGTACAAACCAGGACGACTTAATGTCGTCCCTGATGCACTCTCACGTCATCCCGACTTTGAACCAGTCGTGAAACCCAACAGTGAGACAGTCACTGTTGCGGTTATGACGTCCTCAGTCCCATCTGCAACGTTGCATGACGATGTGAGGCGGGCATACGCCCAAGATGGTGAGATTGTGAAGTTGTTGACACATCTCTCACAGCCATCTCGATAAT